TGAATGAGAGAGGAGCACCAAGCAGTTAGTCTGCCTGGTGGCATTAATCGTATTAATTGCCAAGTGCCAAAAATTTATCGATTAATGTTTTTCTGACGATTAATTGCACACGATACGATTATGCTCAACCCTACTTCACGTTCTCATAACCCCTCCTGTGAGATCTTGATCTTTTAGAGGGTATTCATCTTTTTTTTTTTTTGTTGATGTCCCTTATCATTTAATTGTGTATGTAGTCTTTATTAAGATCTTTACTCCTACAGGTCACACTTCCTGGTTGGAACTATGAATACAGATGCAGTGTGCAAATTGTAATTTTAGTTTTTAATATTTTTATGTCCTGCTACATAAGTCTGTCACACTGCTGACAGAATCAATTGAAAAACGGAAGACTAACAGTCCCAACTGCAAGAAGAAATGGGAAAGTGATTAAGCAGGAAGTGGTATTTAGAGAGAGAAGGGATTYAGGAGGAAGTGTGCAGAAAAATAAATTTAGGACATTTGTATGGATGGAAAACATGAAGGAGAGCCATACTTACATGCTAAAAGATGGCTTCTCCTATCTGCTGTGGTGTGAATAGTAGGACTGTCTCCATGAAAAGGAGGAGCAACGAGGGAAAAGAAAATTCAGAAACTTTTTTTTCCGGAAGCAGAAAGTGTGTGTATATATGTGTGTTTGTGTGTGAGAGAGAGTGACAAGAACTTCTTCACCTCGCTGTAGTCGAAGTGTTTTAGCCAGATGGTATCTGTCTACGCAAAAAGAAAAAAATAAATAAAATAAAAATGAAGGCAAGAAAGAAACTGTCCGGAACTGGTTCACTGATACGAAGCAATGTGAGATCAAAGACGGATCCAGAGACGGATGCAACACCTGGTGCTGCTTTTCCTACCTCAAACACACGCATGCACTTTTTAGCTTTAAAGCYAACTTTATTTAACTAAACCCAGTCGTTTTTCAGAGCATTAGCTACATCTTAAACTCTGTAAACAACTCATACATTCTTATTTTCCTCATTTGCTAAATATCTTTTAGGAGAAATAACGTCAGTAGTAATTTAGGACATTTTGTAACTAGTAGGATGTAAAACTTCAAGCTGAGATCCATCTGAGTCTGGTCATGAGAGTGTTTCAGGGTTGGTTCATTAAACATTAACAGACACCTCACTCTGGCTACATTCACACTGCAGGCAAATCCGACCCAAATCCGATTTTTTTTGACCCATCTGACTCATATCCGATTTTTTACGACATTCTGAAC